TTTCCATTTTTTCAATTCCCATTTGATTTTTCCTTTTACAGAAAGATCGAGACCAAGTAGAAGAAGAAGCTGCACCAGATACAGCTCTATCTGAACTGGTCAACTACATCCAACCAGTTCACTTCAAAAGCTTTGAGAACTCTGCAAGTAAGCATGTTTTCATTTGTTGTTCTTAGCACATTCACTAGAGACTATGGGCCATCCATCCTTTGGCTAGTTGCCAGTTAGATATAGATATAGTGTTATTGTAACATTTAATTAAGCAATAGAAAACTTTTTCCGTGTTTACATAGCCTGATAGCAACACGAGGGGAGGTTGGGAGAATTCAAGACAGTTATGCAAACCCGAGACGTAGTCGAGGGTTTGCATAACTGTCGAGAATTCTCCCAACCCCCCGAGTGTTGCTATCAGGCTATGTAAACACAGAGAAAAACGTTTTCTATTGCTTTTATGAAATAAATACTAAGGGAAAACATTACCACTTGCAAGAAAATAAATCTTTATTTGAATTTGATTCTCATATCAAAATACAAATTCTCCATACATCACGAACTTCGATCGTTAGCCAATCAAATTTCGTGTAATAAACGCCAAGGAGGCAAATGTGAAGCCAGAAAGAATCGCTAGCTATTTTAAATATTTATCATTCTAAAACTTTAAAACAAATACAAAGAAATGTCCAAAGATTGAATAGAAATATTAATAAAAGATTTCAGAATTGATTATCTTTACGAAAGTGATCAAAAGTAGATAACTGAGTGTCACTGTGACTGGAATTCTCAGTTGAAAGAAACGTGGTTTTGCTCAATTTGACAGCCAGAAAACACGGCAGTGAAGTCGATTGTTTCGTCTTGCCTCGAGAAAATATTTTGTGGAGTTGAAGAGCTATCGCTGGAAAGAGTTTGAAGCTGCTGGCTGTTTCCTTGAAATACTTGTATTCCTTATCGGACAGTGCATTTAAATCATTAGAAAGCACTTCGCTGAACAACCGAGGCTATCCTGACGAAGGACGTGCGTTGTAGCTCCTGAGGGAATTCTCGTTACGGTGACCAACAAGAGATTGTCATGATCGATATTACAATCAGAAACACCTGCATGACACCATAGGGTTATGCCTGTGGCCCTGACACATGTCAAAATTTGGAACTTCGTCTTCAAAATACATTTTTGGGGGCGTTTTTTTCCTTGAAAAAAACTGTAAATTTTTGAACTTGTACCGGGAAAACACGAAATGTRTGACGTCACAACTGTGTTTACATACCCTCATGCAAATATGGCTATCAACCAATCACAGCGTACGTACTATTTGATTTATTTTATAATTWTTTATAATATTTAATAGTATATTGAGAGCAACCTGAAAAGTTTAAGCTAATCCTACTCCCTAATAAAGTTATAGTTGCCAGTGAGAGAATAGTAACCTCCTTTGCAGACAATCTAAGGTCATCATCGCACAATATTAGAGAGAACTATTGTGTAACGACGTGATGACCCTAAGAACATCTGCAAGTCCTGCATTGATAAGCAAGTCCTTTCTATATTTTTTAAAATATATTTCTTAAGACCTATTTAATTATTATTGCTGACATTTGTAATTTTGTCTACAGAAAAAAATAGATCATTTGAAATGTCATCATTTGTGGAGACTGTTGCAACGGGACAGCTAAAGGAAAAACCTGTAGAATTTGTCAAGTATCCTTGAACCATTTTCACTGATCACTAAATAAATTAAATTATTGGACTAATTTCATTAAATACTATTCGAATATCAATATATCAAAAGGCGGTGTATGTTATTACGCAATGGCAAAACATTAGGCAATGTTTAATGTGTTTCCAAAATACTGTTTTCCTCTCATGGAGAAGACATTGAAATCTTAAAATCCACACTAGTATCATATTACTTGGCAATCCAGTGATTGGTCTAAAAGTCGGATCTCAGGGTTTTTGATGTTTTAAGTGTGGACTCAAGGCTAAACTTCTTTGAATAGTATCATCGTGGTCTGTCTGTATAATATAATTTTCTTAACCCTTGCATTAGTTATAATAAGAGACAACTTAGTCGTATATACCCTAAAGGAACGAGAGTGGGATCTGAAAACTTCATGCCGCAGGTATGTACTGTCCATGATGCACAACCAGTTATTTGCTGTCAATTTCGTACTAATAATCTACACTTCACTATTTTAATAATTCCAGAAGTACATGTTTACCCTTTTTCATATTATCTGTTTTAGATTTTTTGGAATGCTGGTTGTCAGTTGGTTGCACTCAATTTCCAGACTTTAGGTAAGTTATTGCCTTCTTTATGTGATTTTTTGATACATTGTTGTCTTTCTTTACTGGAAAGTGMATTAATTGTTGCTGCTGGCATTTTGTTGTCATTTCATCGTTTACTGTTGCTATACTTTATTTGTTGCTATTGCTGTTACTCCTTTGTTGGTGCTGTTGTTGCTACTACTGCTGTTGTTGGTGCTGTTGTTGCTTCTACTGCTGTTGTTGCTACTACTGCTGCTGCTGCTACTACTGCTGCTGCTGCTACTACTGCTGCTGCTGCTTTTGTTACTGCTGCTGCTGATGATGCTTGTGGCTGCTGATTCTGTTGCAGCTGATTCTGCTGTTGCTATTGCAGTTGTTGCTGCTCCTGCTCATGTTGTTGTTGCTGCCATTGTAGTTGCTAATACTTCTGTTGTTAGTGCTATCCCTGCTGCTTTCGTTGTTGTTGTTGTTGCTGCTGTTGTTGTCTATGTTCTTGCAGTTGCTACTGAAATGATTTAATCCTGACATTTTTACATTTTATTTACTTTAGATTTACCAATGATGTTGAATTTAGGAATATTTGAATACAATGGCAGATGTGGGTAAGTAGTTTACTTTTAATGAAAAATGACTCTTAAGAGTGAGGGGAGGGGGGCATTATCGTGTGGTTTGGGGAGCTTGGGATACTCTGCAGTTTGATGACAATCATTTCTGTCAAGAGAGGTGGAATCTCCACAAAGGGATGTATGTATCTTTTAACATTCTATGTTGTTAACCAAACAGGTATTTACTGAAGCCTAGTTTCATGAGAAGACCAGATAGAACATTTGATCCATTTGCAGAGTCTACTGTTGATGGTATCATCGCTGGGGCAGTAACAGTCAAAGTATGAACAAATGAGATTAGGAAATTCAATGATCATGATCAGTATATTTATTTTTTATCTTACACTTGGTTTATTCATTAGTTCATTAGTTCACAGTTATTCTAACCTTCCATCCACTCATCTATCCTTTCTAAACATCCATGCATCCATCCAAACATCCATCCATCTATCCATTCATTTATCCATCCATCCACTCATCCAACCATCCATTTA